TTCATGTAATAACGCTGCATATATTATGAGAACGAAGTGCGATTCCTCCTTTGACGCACATGCGCGTATCGTATACGGAGAGATCGTTATCCGAAACGAATTTTCGAAGATACGAACTGATTAATTCGTGGAAATTCCCAAAATAAGACCTTACTGGTGATCACTATGGTAGTTACTGTTACACTATAATAACACTAAATACACACTGATGTGTAGAAATATTCATGATTAACTCAAGATATAAATCACTTCATGCTCCATATAATATTATTACTAAAAACAGAACAATAAAACCGTACGTATATGTGCAATAAAATGATTCAATGCCGAAAAAGGTTTTGATTTGTACATTAATTCTGTTGTTGTGCACCATATCTTAATGTGAAATCGGCGAACCAATTGTAATGATATGGTAAAAAAATCATATCTTACAATTTTAAATTGTCGAACTTTCATATCATTAATATATGTCGAAATGTTTGTAATTGAATATTCATGTCATCTATAATTCAATTAGCTGTAATTAAGAAATGTCAATGTTTATAAGTAATAATCTCAAGAAAAAAATATGAACTACGGTGTATGAACTACGGACAAGTGAAAAACAATGTTTCGTCATAAAATAGCGATTGTCTAAAAATAATATATTTTTAACACCTTTTTTGATATTCTCGAATTTTCTAATAATAGTTATAAAGTCGTACTTTGAGGATTAGCGTAGTTTATACCGAAAAAAGTCTATAAGAAATTTCTTAAAATTATAGACTAGAATATTCAAGAAATCAAGAATATTTTAGATAATAATTATTTTTAAGAATATGTGCCCCCTGCGCCTAATCTGCATAACACCTATCTTATTATTAACACCTATCGTGATTTACATCTCAATTACGCAACGAATAAAATTTATATCATCGATTACGGCATAAATCAAGCGGTTGCCGATTAATAGTATAATTTACGAATACGAAACACAGATCTATCGATACTACCTTTGTATAAAACGCTATAAAATAATCGTATACAAACAAAAAATAACATAGCGACTACGTAATAAATCCATATCTCTCTGAAAGCACGCGTTGTTATAATTTATGACTTAGTTTGTGAATGATTTATTTTGAAGATTCGAAAATCTTATGGATCTTGCCTGCCAGACTGACTGGCTACTGACCATCTCCAGTACTATATATGGGTATTGCGATAATGCTGCACGAATAAAAAGAAAGCTTATAAAAATTTTACTCAAAATAATAATTGATCAGCTTATACGAGTTATCTATTGCATTGTATATTATGAATTTGCAAAATTTTGATTAAAACAACTTTTTACCTCAATATATTTAGTATATTAGTACTTGCTTAAATTCTTTTTTTTATCCATATAATCCTATATCAATTTTTTTACCCCTTTCTTTTATCCATATAAGACTAAGCGTTTGTTATATTGGTATCGAAATTGGTAAAATCAGATTTATTATTTTGTATATTTTATATTATTATTTTGAGTAACATTATTCACCAGTGTCTGCTTTTATTCGACATCTTACACGATTAGCATACTCGTTACTTCCAGTCACTTGTACGTTGGAAGATTCACTTTGTTGTTACGTATGTGTATGTACGTATATGTTGCATATGTACTACGTGGCAAAATAGGTTAATTAATAAATATTCTACAATATTAATCTAATCTTTATAAAAAATAGATATTATTTTCACATTATTTTACTTGCGTGAATCAATACAAATTCAACTTTAGGCATAAAATTTAGACTTGACTGGTGATTGATTGGACTTTATTGAGAAGAGTTTGATGACGAATATTGTATTTAAAGTTTGTGTATTTACTTTCAGCATATATTCGATAATTTTACTTAAAGGATATATTAATTTGTAAATAATTTTACATTCGCCTCCAAAGAATTTCAACGTAGGACTGATGAATCGAACTAACGATGAAATGCTTCTTGATCGCATTAGCATATTTCAGTAATTCATGTAATTAAAAATACAAAAACTACATTTCATCTAGTAGGTGTTTTTGTATCTGCAACCTATATAGTAGATGTTGCATTTGCTGGTAATTGACTACGATTTTAATTAATCCACATCAATTTTAATTGATCATGATCAGGTTGACCATTGCTGAGGCTGAATTTAACATAACTCAATATTTTTTTTTTGTTAAATATTGTTCCTAACCAACATGCTTGTTTAGTTTTATTTAAATTATTCCAAACTTAGTATATCAAAGTATTTTAAAATCTAATAATATACACCTTGACATCCTAAAATATAATTTAATATGCAAAATCTATAATAACTATATATTACCAACTGTAGAACATGTGTATATATTTATATATATTATAAATATACATATAGCATTAATAAAAACATAGTATGCATGCATTATCGAAAAGCAGATGCATTCTGTGAGGTAAGGCAATAAAAAGTGAATGCCCCAAAACGTAAAAAGGCCCCTCGCTGGGTCTTCAAGAAGCTATGCTACCGATGGCAAGGGAGAACAGGTTCATCGTAAAGAAAATTTTTATATTATTTTGAATATACCAAAATTCAATAATATTTCCAACCGCTTTTGAAAAATGTTTTACAATGCGCAAGTTTTTGTATTTAAGTTGTTAATTGAAACGCAATGTTTTTTTGAAAATATGTTGGTTGTTTCAATAATTTTAAAATCAATTTCATTAATAACAGTCGACTGAGTGTTCGAGAAAGTTATTGAGCTTCGCCCGTATTGTTATTGATTTATGTACTAGATTGTGAAACAGCTCTAGCATAGGTCTCTTTAAGATTGATGTAACATTCAAATTAGACTCTGATGTGGCGCTTTTTTGTTGTGTTGTATTCCTTCCGAACTGGAACACCGACTTACAATTACTTCACAATCTGAATTACGAGCGTGTGGCTCCGAGATATTATTACACGCAGTTGCAATACTGGAATGTATCACATAAATCTCAAAGTTGTGTCCTCGAGCAATATTTAACATCGAATTGTTACTTATGTGTTCATACATAAATGTAATCGCATGCTGTTTAACTTTCACCTTTATTATGAGCCAAATCAATATTCATTAGAGCTTCTATTACGCGCTGTGGGGGTAAATAGCAATTTTCAATCATTCGCATATCTGTTACGGTTATTTAGATATATTCAATTGAAAACATGTGTTTTTATCACTTTATACGTTTCCTTACTTTTGATAATATGGCTGATCATTCCGTTAATTTTATAAGACATTCACTACAATAAAAACCTGTGCGCACCCTTAATTATTATTAAGTTTTCGTAACAAAAGAACTAAGATGAGGCATGTAAAGAGGTGTGTCGGAACTACCGGTGCACGGGAGCTTATTTCTCAGCTGGCCTAAACATCATATTATTAACTGATGATCAAATTATATACTCAGCAGTCGTTGTGAGAATTCTAGAAACTAACCAATTCATACACATGTCCGAAATTTTCTTAAGTGTTTGTAATCGTATACTTTAGCCTGCATCGAAGCGTTAAGCTGACTGTATGCAGTCATAAGCGGAGCACTCTCTTTTATTAGAGGTTATTTTTACAAGTGCGATTTTTTACATGGTCACTAAATAATGACTCATTACCAAAATAATAGAGTGTAATTTTTTCTAAATCTAATAAAGAATCAGAACGTAACGGATCCTATGGTAAGTCGTTTCCGCTATAACATCCCGTAAAAAGTTACTGACCTGTGTCGCATAAGTACTTACTTGAGTATTTTGTGGGTTATAAGCAGTGTCTTTTAAAAATCTTAATAAAATATTAATTTTTAATTTATAGAATGAATATGTAAAACGTTCTACACTTGCAATAAATGAACAATAAAATTAAAATTGATGATGCTAAGATTCTTACAAACATTTCTTTAGGTGTCCAGGTACTTTGCAACAAGAAGTTCATTTCTTCTTGCAACTTTTAATCCGCGTATATAGATTTCGGTTATGTTAGGTGGTAATTTGGAATCGTTCGGGGCGCGAATCCGACAACAAGTGATCATGCCCAGCTGTTTGGCATGGGGCAAGGTTACGACGTCGTGATGGCAAGGTGCGCGTGTTCGAGCAGGTGTATTGCTCTCATCCGCATGCGAGCGATGAGTGATGACCTGCTCGCTAAACGCGATCGACTCTTCAATTTCTTCAATCAGCCGGTCTTGAATATGTGCATTTTTTAGAAATTCCGTTGAGAGCGTCTCAGACAAACGTTAAAACTTGCGAATCACTCATTCGCTCAGTCGACTCAGTAAACAACGGATGAATTAATAGTAATATATAACTGATTTATATATTTTAAATTTATATTAGCTATATATTTTTTAATGTATTTTAATTTGGATGTCACTTACAATGATAGTTCCTATAAATGTATTGTCACGAAATCTTCGAATATATCATCTTTGTTTGTCCCCCAATGCGGCCCGAACGAGGCGCCTTCGGGCCCATAGCGCACCGTAGCCGAAACCCGCGTGCATATAATCTTTCGCAATAACAATTTGTTTAATGCATGACTATTACGCAATGAAATTACCAAGTTGGCGAGGCGCGGGAGAGATATATTGTGGTAATACGGCTCTCTTATAATACGTGGCCACCCCGCGGCTTTGTGCTTATGCCTTAAATGCGAACGCTGTTAGGGTTAGAGCGCATCTCAAAAATTATAACAAATGCATTTATTGGAAAATTAACTTGCACAACTTGTTTAGCTTACAATCTTATAATATTTTCTGTCATAAACGTTAACATCGGCGTCAAAAAGTAAATTCTATGTAATCATTTTGCGTACATTCAGTTTAGGCAGCTATAGACGAAATTACTTGTTTTATTCTTACTATAGTACATTTTTAGAATATTGTTAACTAGATACAGCGCAGTGTTTTGCTTTTATTGTGTTATGTATATGTTTATATTTTATGTATTATTTATTAATCAGTTTTAATTCGTTTTCCTAACAGGTGCGCGGATGAGTTCCGGTCAAGTGTGTCGCCCGCAATTTCACCCGCCGTTACACCCGTGGCTGTCCGAATCCGCGAAAGCGCTGCCGGGCAGCGGTTGGGGTGCCCCCTTTGAACCCGAGAAACCGACGCAAGCGCCTCTTTTCTCGTTCCCTCCGACGCCGCCCAAGGATTCGACGCCGGATTCCGTTGCCGCAAACGCGGCGCTCAACAATGCAGCCGCGGGGGACTACCAAGCGGTCGTGAATGCCTTCATGCAGCAGAACGAGCAGGCCTGCGTTGGTCTAGATGTGAAACCGTCCGCGATGAACGGAGGAGGTGGCGGCAGCAGCAACGGAGGCGGACAGAAGCAGAGGGAAGGTCTGTCAACAAGCATAGCATCAACCACGGACTCAACGTCTGTCTATCATCATGACCGGAGCATGGAACAGTCAACGCACGCAGGCACAGGCACGGGGTACCATCATCCCAGTGCCGTCAATGCCAGTAGTAGTAGCGCGTATCCTGGTTTCCCAGGAGATTCCTATCCCGGTCCGTTAGGGCTCTATCCTCACTCGACGACGGTGCGTGCGCCTCAGTCCAGCTCCCCTGTATCCATCAAGCCCAGAAATAAGGCGAGAACTAGCGCCGGTAAGGACGTTGTTTATGATTTTATTTATTATTTTGAATTGTATTTTAGTTTTGACTTTATTTTGGTATTTGCGTTTATTTTTTATATTTTGTTTGCTTTTACTTTATGGGACGATTTTGCGTTTTGTATTAATTCACTTATTTTAATATTATGTTAGTTTCATTTTTTCGGAATGACCGCTGGTTTTCCAAGCAACAACTAAAAAACAGTTATTTTTAAAATTAATAAAATAAGTCGTTGAGCTCAGACAATTTTTCCTATCTGTTTTTATTGTTTTACACCTCTAAGTTTTAAATTTCCGAATTATTATTTTATTTTTAACCCTTTAAAAATATTTTCTAAGCGGTCAATTTCGAATTATTTTACCCTTAACCTTTCTTTTATTTTTTTTTTTGTAAACTTATGATTTGAAGTTTCGAACAATGTGTCGTCGTGCTTTCTGACGAAGTTGATGACACTTCGTGCCGTGTTTCCATGTTGTCTCGTAAATACGCACACACCGACCTACACCCGAGCACATTATGGCACCACCACACAATCGCAATCACCATGCCCTTCTTTAATGTCGCCGGCACTCGTTTGGCACTGATCATCTCCTCTGCATACCTTCTAATCCACCAGTTGGCTGTCTGTACTACGAGTACCAGTAACGACATGCCAACACATACTCGTTTGCGCTACGCACGGTTGGCAATGCGTACTAAGGATGGCCAATCACTACATAATAAAGAGACACACGTTGCAAAAAAGGTCATTTTGATTACAAGGTTACTCTCACTCAAAAATTTTCTCTACAAGATTTGTGATTTTTGTTTACAATTAGCATGAAAATTTACGATCATGTTTTCTAAAAATTTCATACTTAAAATAGTTTTTTGTAATCCACACTATTTTAAAAAGATTATTACATAGATTTTCTATCATCTTTCTATATCAATCACTCTCTTTTAATCAACTGACCGTTAAAGTGCAGGTAATCGCGTCCATCCCTAGCTTGCTTCGAAAAGTGTTCAACAGTACCAGAATGTCTTGTGTTGCCGGTTACCCTGAGGAAGCGCGACTCCGAGGATGCATTATGCATGAGGAGGGCATTCTCATTGTCTCTTATTCTGCCGCAGAAACTAGTCACGCCTCGCTGATCACAACCTTCAGTCCACATACGACTCCCACTAACGACGGCGTCGATTCTTATTACTTAAAAAAATAACCTTTGCTAAAAATTATTTTTAAAATTTTATATCTAAAAATTACTGTTAGTCAAGATTTTTTTAGAATGAACTTAATAGTTGGGTTTAATAATATTTTATGTAGACCAGCAAATATTGATGTAACGTTTATGGACTTTTCACACGTTGAAGCTTTTCACGTCACACATTTTATCTGAAATTTTCATATCTAGAGCGCTGTGTGTGACGGTCGAAGAGTTCTAGTTGTCATTAAAATCTATGACAACGACAATCGTAGTATGGCGCATAAGTCCCATCGTGATCCGTCATCGTCAACAAAGAAATTGCGTTCTTCTCGCGGTTGCATAATATCCCGACGGTTTGTGCATTGTATGCATCTGTGTGCACATAATATATATGTGCAAAGGACCGCCCAACAATTACACGTTAAGGTTGCCGTCACGTAATATTTCATAATTTAATAAAACAACGCTCGTCGCGCAGATTTTCATTAGTTATCAGGATATGAGGTTCACTACTCGATTTGCACCAGTTCTTTTGTTTCGTTTTCCGTTTGGGATTATTTTACAGACCACATGTTCGTAGTTCATAAAAATGTTACATTACATAGTACACATAAATTATTCTCTAATTGTATCTAAACCATGAGAAATAATTCACAAATTTACATATGAATATCCGTGATAGACAAAAAACAAAAGGAAAGTTTCTCTAGCGGGTCGACCGCATCGCAAATACCGAACGGAATAAGGTATGACGCCCAATATTTTTCAAGACAAATATATGTGGTCTCAGGTCTTCGCATTTAGTGAAATACAAAACACACGCTGTAATTTATTTGGTTTTCATCGGTCGGTAATAATTCAGACACATTTTTATGTCTTCAAAGTTGTCATCCCGATCCGCTCACAAAAACAAAAAATATCAACGAAAGATCCGTACACATTTTTGTCGTCTTTGCGTGCAAGACGCAAATGGGCACGATGGTACGTTTTCGGTATTTCTCTGTTTCAAAGAAACTGTCAAAAAATGTTTAACTGATATAAAAATCAACATAAATTTTAAAAAATCTGCAAAGATAATACAGCACCCCGAAGTACCGCAAAATCTGTATTTAATATATATATATATATATATATATATATATATATATATATATCCACTTTCATGTATAATATGCGTTTGTTTTTGTGTACAAAATATGTAAACATATAGGTGCATCGATATGCAGGTAAACAAGAGTTCTTGTAGAAAAAATTGGAGACGTCTAACAGTTCAACCTTCTGTCCGGACATAAATTATTCGAAATCGTCCTTCTTCTCGGAGTGAGTCCCACAGATATAAAATATCGGTGACATAGTGTCGAGACTAGAGGATCGTTTTTTATCTCTCGTCAGGTTTTGCCAATAAATTTCCGCGTTTTGAAGGGGATGTTGTAGACGTAGACAATGGGCGAAATGTTCATTTTCGTATGTCAACCTCCCAATATAAACGGTCACCCGTCGTGTGTACTTACTTTTTGACGAATGCCTCGTAATGTTGGAAGCTTTTGGTATCATAATTTTGGTATACCTCACTCTTGAGCAAAGGACTTTTTGTTGTTTTTGGTTTCTTTCCTGTGAGGATTCACAGCGGGGTTCGCTATAAACCGGCGCTACCTGAGCTCGGAACGAAAGTCGATTCTCTTAAGCGCCAGTAAAGGGTAAAGAGACAATTAACGCACAGTATGTGACATTGGACAATGTACCTTTTATTGAGAAACTGATTGTTTCATTTTTTTCATAGTGGCTTTGAATTTACACAACACACACTGTATGGCACATCTCTCATCTGAGATTAATTCAATTAATTAATTAATTTGTATAATATATACAGGTACAATTTTGGTTAGGCATTTTGAATGTATCTGTAGTTTTCATCAACTGTAGGCGTACGTATTGCGCGTAGTCTATTTTTCAAAACTTTAATTAATTTTTATAATTAACCCACTTCTCGTAAGTCAATAATATTTTAAAGTGTTCAGTTTGACTATCAACTCTATCACGATGCGAAGTTTCATCAAAATCCCAGAAGAGTAAACCTAAGATTCTCCTTGTGATTTTTTATTGCATGTAAATAATTCTGGCCAATTTCTATTACCAATTTGCTTCTCGGATAGTTCTTACATCGACGAGTTATTGTACCCAACGACACTATCAACAATCTATATCACTTATACTTCAGGTATCTTGTGGAAAGATCTCAATGGATAGTTATCTCATTAACCTGAGCGTAAATCTGCGAAGTTGTTACCACCGATAGTAAGTTAGTTTAAACGCCGCACATACTAATAATTATACACGCTCCTACGTATTATGATTATTCATCGAGAATAATTCATAAGCGTTTGTTGATTTTGTAAAATGTAATTGAATCTGAAGACTTCATCATGTTTTACAAAGGTTTTATGAATCATAAAAAATATTGTTGAATCAGCTTATCTGTCGGTTACTTACAAACTTTCCGAAGGAAAAGTTTGTTTTTGCGATAAAATCCATTTTCCTAACTTTCTCTCAAATTAGAAAGAATCAGGCGATTTTTGAACTTTTGTCGATATTATCTCAAAAACTGTTCAACCGATTTCAAAAACTTAAAAACCATTCTATAAAACTCAATAAGCACTCACCTGGCTATTTTTTTAGACGATCGACCAAGCCCTTTCTTTAGTACAATTTTTTTTTGTAATTTTTGTAAAAAAAATGTGAACCAATTTTGAAAACTTTATTACCAACTCTTTAACTAAAATACTATTCGAAAAATATCATTAAAAAATCGTGCTAACTATGTTTTGGTAAAGATTTGTCGGGTCGTTTCTTCATAATTGATTATTCAATTTGTTTATTTTAATGAAACTTTGTATGACGATAGGGTTCCTGGCCTTAATGATCATACTGAAATATTAGAGGCCTGCGACAAATGATTCAATTTTAAAAATTATTTGAAGTTTAGATTAATCACCCCCGGTTTTTGAATATACTCCGTGTAATGTTTAAACCATTTGTCGAAAATAACTAATATTTTCATCTGCATCATCTGAATCATCTGCAAATTTCTCACATTATAATTCTTCACAAAATATAAATGATTCAGGAATTAATATATTGTTTTTTTGTAACATATTTATCTAGCAATCAGAAATTACAGTATTTCTAAAAGTTGAGAACTAAGTGAATGTTGAAATAAGATAGAATTCACTGTTTTATCTTACAATATGCTACTTAAAATATATACCTTCAATGATTGGATTTATATATTATCTATATGCCATTTTCTCCTTAATTTTGAGTTTTGTTGGGGGCGAAAGATGTCTTAAAGATTAATTTGGGTGCATCTCTAATCTGTTGCGGTATTTTGATCACAATTCTTTGTAGTCAACATTTTTAGATCGCCGTAGACAGTTTCTTATTGATTAAGTCGATTATTTACATATGACAGGAAGTACATGCAATTTTTCTTATGGCATGATGCCACTTACACCTAGTTTAATAGTTGTTTAGCTATAGTATAATAACTTATGAGCAATTCACGATTTTTTCATAACTTGTTTTAGTCTGTCAATATTTATTGCGCATATAAATCATAATTGATGGCCATATCTGCATATCAAATGTTCATAATTTGATTATCCAGTTTCGCCATAAACAAAAGAGTCGTTAGACAAAATATTTAGCTGTGCTACTAATATATTCGGCAGACCGTTATAATATTTTCATAAAAAGAATCTCCATTACGCTAGGATTCCGTTAAACATTGATTATCGTAGACATGTTTAT